CTTCTTTCTCCTGCATCATGGCTGGTGGATTCGAGCCATATGATTTTGGGATTGCAGAGCAGCTTCTTACCACTAGAGTTCCCTAATATAAAATCTAGAGATCTTTGTTACAGAGAGTTCCTGAATTTGTCACACAAGAGTTTCAGGGTGAATTTGGCCCAGACAGATAAAATTCTAAAGAAGCATTAGAGCTTCTGCTCATTGATCATCTTGTAAGATAGATGTGGATAGAGAGGTTTCCTCCCCTCATTCTCAAGTGATGCTAGATGAGGGAGGATTAATTCTATGCAGCTGTCAACCTACCGCAGAACATGTTCTTCACAATAAAGAATTTATCACAAAATCTATTCTACCAGCAGACACTGGAATTTTCTCCATCTGAACTTAAAATATCCAATATTTTCCAGCTCATCTTTAAAGGTCGATTCTTGGAACTTCCCAAGTAAACCCATAGCTTTATTACAGTCAGTTCTTCCCCAACACATCCACAGTGTTTTATATAATAAATGTCTTCATTGTATCTAGTGCTGCTGCACCAGATATATCACCAGTGGTGTAGCTTTAACAAGGAAAAATTTATTTTCTCACAGTTTAGATGGTTAGAAGCCTGAATTCAGAGCACCAGCTCTAAGGGAAGTCTCTCTCTGTGGGGAAAGTCCTTGCTCCTCAGCTCTTTCGGTGTGGCATCTGTCTTCTCCCATCTGCTTGCTCACTTGCTTGATTAATTTTTATATCTCAAAAGAGACTGACTTAAGGCACATCCTACATTAATACTATCTCACGAACATAAATAAACCCAAACCATTCCCAAATGGGATTTTAATCACAGGTATAACCCCAGAGATTGGAAGTCACAACACATTTTTTTAACTACAACTAAATCCATAACAATTTTTGTTATCAAACCCACAGCAACTCTATGAACAACAGATCTGAACCCTGTCCTATCCTGTGCCATTCTCACAATCTCTGACATGCTAGAGCCCATTGCTGCAGTCACTGTGTCAATTCATTTGGCTGAGGGTTGTCTTTCCTGATCTTCCAAGCATGATATCCCTCTCAAAGGAATAACCTCTCCTTGCAACATGTCCAATGCACAAGAGAAGAATTTTTATCACCTGTGCCTTCAAAAAGCACTCAGGCTTCACCTTCTTCAAGACAGATCTGTTTGTTCTTTTGGCAGTCCATGGAAGTCCCGCCCTCTTCTCCAACACCACAGCTCAAAGGCATCAATTCTCCTGTCATCCTTATTCACTGTCATATTCTCAGACACATAGCAAGTAATTGAAAAGACCATGGTATGAATTAGGCACACTTTAGCCCTCAAACTCCCATCATTGTTCCTTAATAATTTGAAGATATCCCTGACTGCGGATTTTCCCATTGCGATACATCTCCTAATCTCCTCACTGCTGGTGGCACCAAGGGTGTTGATTGTGGATCCAAGTAAGATGCCACAGTTTCAATCTTTTCTCCATCAGTCATTATGCTGCCTATGGGTCCATTTGGGAGGATTTTTGTTTTCTTGACAGTGAAATACAATCCACACTGAAGGCTGTATTCTTTGATCTTTTGTAGGAAGTACTTCAAGTCTTCCTCATTTTCAGCAAGCAGGATAGCGTCATCTGCATAACAGGTTATTAATGAGTCTTCCTCTGATCCTGATTCCACATCTTTCTTCATAGAGACTAGTGTCTTGAATAATCTGCTCAGCATACAGATTGAATAAGTATGGAGAGAGGATACAACCCTGACACATACTTTTAGTTGTTTTCTTTTGTATTTTAGAATTGGTTTGCATACAATAACCCATGTACATTGTGTTTAATTAATATAAATTGTATTTTTATAGTATTTCACTTACATTGAGCTTAATACAATAATTCATAAACATTGTATTTTATATAATTAATTATTATTGATCCATACCCATCATTATCTCTTCTTTTTGATTCCTCACTGAATCTTTTCTATTCCTTCAATACCTCATCCATCCACTAAACTCTGTTATCCTTTCTCTTTTTACATTGACTTCATTCATGTACACTATGTTTTACACAATCCTTCATTTTGCTATCCTTTCTTAATTTTAAACCAGGTAGTGTTCCCTTGTTATGTTTGCAACACAAAATCCATAGACATTAGACATAAGGAAAATATTTCTTATTAATTAGCTATTCTAGATCCCCTGGGAG